CTCTCTCTCTCTCTCTCTCTCTCTCTCTCTCTCTCTCTCTCTAACTATGTGTTTATATATCAAGAAACAGTAAGTTTAAATTTTCTGACTAGGCTTATAAGTTTTTTTTATTTTAAAAAAGAAAGCTGATGAGACTTATAATTTGAATGCCATGGAAACCCCACCTATTACAACCAACAAACTTAACCAATGAGCTGTATAGGATAAAATAATAAAAATAAAAATTGCCAACATAATCTTACAACCATGGCTCTAATACTATTTCTCATCAGAAGACATTGATAATATAAAACACACAAAAGAAAAGGAAGTAAAAAGCAAATACACACACAATTTTACCAGAAAGAACACATACCACTCCAGCAGGATCATCATGATTTCCATGAATACTAAACACTGGCAAGCCAACATTGAAGTGAGGATCTTCATAATTTACATGGCCAAATCTGTTAGAACAAACATGCTGTTATAAACTGAAGGGTGCATTTCCGTATTATAATATATCTCTAAGATTTATACAAACGGGGGAGGTTTCTGATACAAACATAAATGCAAAAACACATTATAGTAAAAAGATAGAAGTTTTTAGTCCTAAATTCAATTGTGCAGGGACGTTTTGTTCCTATTGCACAACTCATAGCATATATAGGGTTCGGGAACCAAAGGCTTAGACATATCATTTACAATTTAAAAAAATCCAGCTAAAAACCAAGGTGCATTTGAGTCATTACGTATTTGCAAAATTTACAGTCTGGTCGCTAACAACTTGGAACTGCACTGGCTGATCACTCATGCAATGACGGCGAAGAATCTCAATGGCCTTAACTAGAGTTGACCTTGAGGGCTTATTCTCATGGAACAAATCACCACCAAGAAGCACAAAATCCACCTGATAGTAGATAAATTTGAAATGTGTTTGTAAATATATTTGGTTCACAGAAAGTATAAGGAATAGAGCTTTGCAGTACAGTATTTGTCCAAATGTGGACTCAAAATTGAAAGGAATTAAAGAAAGGGAAACAATGCACACTGGCAAAGCGCTATTGCAAAGCATGATACTACAAATACAGCTAGAAGGAAAACTTAGCTATTACATTCTTTTGTTCTGCTATTGAGCATATCTCATCAAATGCCTGGAAAGAATCATGCCGCCGTATTTCATCCTTCTCCATATAGCCCAGATGGCAATCCGTAGCAACAAGTATTCGAAGTGTATTACTAAAATCCTCCCTGAAAATTATTGCACTATACATAAGAACAGAAAAAACCTTTTTTTGAGCAAATATGAAAGGTCTGACAATGAAAAGTCCCCTATTTTATGGTTTTTTATATCAATTACGACATTTGGGGATGGGGAATTTAAACTTGGGATTCTTCTTCAGAAGGGAGGTGTGACTACCAACGGGAGTATGTCCCACCGCCACATTCAAACTAGGGCATCTCATAGTAAACATAATAATATGGTATGTGACTAATCTTAGAAATGGCTTTTATAGAATATCTACTTGGTGTGTTCAACAAAAGTCCCCTCCAAAGAAAACATATTACTAGGTGCAAAGATAAAAAGAGAAAGGTTACCTTGATAAGTCACTCATACTGATAGTTGCAACTATTTAAACCTACAACATGTGCAAACCACAGAACTGTTATTGCTAATAAAACAAACAATAATCTTGCAATGACCCGATTACAATTAGTATTTTTCCAATGTGATTATTTCCACCAACCAAATTCAAATCAAAACCCAAAATAAAAAGAAGAAAAAAAGGCAATGGAAAGGAAATTTTTGAAATATCAATTTCAAGGAACGCATTTGCTAAAAGTATCAAAATGAATGAAAATTGAAACCATCATGCAATTTCCAATATAGAAAAAGAAAATTCAAAATGATCAGGTTAAGTAAGTAAAAAGCAAAATACAAAAACCCTAAAACAGGGTTTATCAGCACAAAAACACAAAATCAGAAAGACTAAAAGAGGAAGAAAAGTCAGAATAAAAATTGTGTGAAAAAACAAATGGAAACAAAAATCAATATACTAAAGTAAGCGAACGAACGAATCCTGTCGTCAAACACCGAGATTTTTTTCACTTGAATTCCTTTCATTTTCCTGCTTTTTCTCGGAAAACAAACAGTCTACAGAGAGTGAGAGATGATTACCTGTGTTCAAGTTTTGTAAAATGTGACAGTGAGTGGGAATGCAAAAGCTGATTCAGCGAAGCTCGGCGATGGAAAAAGGGGACGGTGGCGGGGAATTTTGAAAGACGAGAGTGGAGGACAAAGGTACGTTGGCAAGGTGTTTTCTTTTTTTCGCATATTTTTTTTGTCGGTCAACCGTCATGTATCGAGAAGAAAAAGAAAAAGAAAAAGAATAACAGTATTTCGGTAGTATTGAAATTGCGGCCGACTTTTGCTCTTACATATTGGGCTGGGGTATTGGTTTTTGGGTTGGTCAAGCCTAGGGGCAAGGACCAGGAATGTCAAGCGTAACCCATGATTTATGATTTTGTTTTTTAGAGAATGATTTATTATTTTGTTTCCTATTCTGTAGTGAGTTTTTAAAAAAAAAAAAAACGACCAATTTGTTTTGTAGGATATTAATTGCATAAATATGTTTACAATTGAGTACACTTATAATGAAGTTACGATGTATAGCCACAACTAGGTATTGAACTCATGACAGATATATATTATCATCGCTTCTATATGAGTAACTGCTTTTAACCTAGGACCTCGAGTGTAAGGGTAACTGCTCTTAACCACTTGAGCTACAAAGCCCTTATTGTTGAGGTAACAAGATTTATTCTCAAAATTGTAAAACTTTCTACTTCATCTGCATTGTTATTTAAGGTAAAAGACTTTTTCAACCTTTATAAATAAAAATAATAATAATAATAAAGTAACCTCTTGTGTCCTTATTTTATTAGTTTTATCCTCATTATAAGAAGAAAAACAAATATAATCAGAATAATCAAGTATTTCGAATTCATTTTAATAACATCTCCACAATTTTCTTACGACTCTCCCTCTTCTTTCTTTCTTTCTCCTCGAGCAAGTAATGCAAGTAAGAATGGTCATTGGATACCGAGATTAACAAATGGGCACTTGCTCTAGAACCAATACACCTTAAGTTGGAGCTTTGGCCCATGATGGAGAATAAGTAACAAGATACCCATTTGCTATTATAGGTATCCAATGACCATATTTGCCTCTAGGTGTGAGGGTTTCTAGTTTTTTAATGAGAGTTGTTTGCACTCTAAAATAATCATTATGAGTTCATGGGGTTTAGTTCAGTAGAAAAAGATCTTGGCTTGCAGACAGTGGCAGA